AACTGAAGTTGATGGCTCTTTGTAATTCAAACTGTTTAGGCCTTGTTCATAATTTATGAAACTGGCATGATGCTTATGAACATGATATTATGATGCTTTATGACATTAATATATGTTCTTCTCTGCCTGATTGAATTCATAATAATATGAAATTCATATTTGACATTCTACAAGGGATGGCAGAGATGGAGGAGAGCTTACTGGGTGGGATCCTGACCAAGATGATCTACTAGATGAATGAATGTATCATTTAGAGCATGTAGGGACTTGACAAGTCACTTGCTATTGCCCATTTTGATGGAGTCTATTTACTTGAGACTTCCATTTTGCTATCTCTATTTTGTAAACATTATTGTGCTTGGTTCTTGTATTTATACGGCTTTGGACTATTTTTGATGGCCTATTTATAATTGACTGTTATGCATATGTTGGTTGTGAACTAATTCTGAGATTTATTTTGGATATTGGGATTTGGATGAGTTTAGACTGAATCTGAAACTCTTCATATTTAATTTTATGTGATGATCTCATAACAGATTCATGATAAGGATGATTCACTTATTTAGATTGCAAATTATGATTGAGTTTAATATTTAGTGCTAAAACTCTTTGACCGATCCAAGTTGATTGTCTTGGACTGAATGTGGATGATTCATATTTGTTTGAACATTACACTGACCACGGTATTGGATTGTGCTATATGGTGAACATAGGAGGAGATTGTTGGATATATTATTAATATAGTCCAAATAATATATTCACATACAAGCCCAATAGGTTTAAAGTATGGTTATTTTGGGCCTATATGCGGGAGTCCAATAGCTTACATATAAACTCTAGGGTTTACCTACGCCTGGAGAACACTCTGTTGAGCGCTTCCAAACTTGACGTCTCTTGGTGTAACACTTCAAGCAAAACACTATCTACTCTCTCAAACCCATAACCTCCAACAGCCAAAGCTCGCCGGCAATGAGAATATTAGCGTTTTGTTTTTGTGTTTTTGGCTGACAGGCAAGACACGACGACAAATGAGAAAAGAGAACCCCATTCACAGTTATTCACAGTTCTTGGAGAGAGTTTGATTCAAAAACCATTTTGAATGATTGATTTATCTCATCGAATGCAGGACTACAAAGATGTGGGAAGAGTTTTAGATTGAGGTGGATAAACTACCTGAGGCCTGACCTCAAGAGAGGGATGTTCTCTCGAGAGGAGGAGGATCTCATTGTCAGTCTCCACCAAGTTCTTGGAAGAAGGTACAGATACAGCTATAGGTTTACGACTTTTTTTGGTACTTTTCCCGCCAAACAAAGATCAAGTCGAGGTGTAAATGGAAGTCCTACTTTTACATGCTATTTTGTTGCAGTGACTGCCAATGAGACCCAGTTATATTTGTCATGTTTATGTAAATGAAGAATGAGTTCAGATGATGAACTTCCTGTCCAATATACAAAAAACCAAGTCTTTCGGTCGCCATACAAGCCAGGATTCACCTGAAAAGTTCCAAATCATTAGGAGTTGGGGTAGAATTACCGGAAAGCAACCATCACATAGCTATTGCTCAGTTAAACTAAATGATGAATTCAGTTTGCTAGGCGGCGATTTACACGTACCGCCCATCCAGATTCATGCACTCATAATCTTGAAGAACGGCGCTCTTTAGAGTGATTTGAGAAGCGGTCCATTCATCATCACGTTCGACGTGCGGGTTGAAAACTTTAATATCTCCTTTGGCTCCAGAGTAACTATAACCTTCTGTGATCAATATGGCCATCTTGTTCACAGTACAACCAATGTTGGAACTGTAAGTGTGGGCTTGAACTGTTAATATAGAATGAGAAAGCATACATATAGAGTGATTTCTCTGAAGGAGGTTTTGAATTTTATTCTCATCCATCTCCGTGCCTCGATGGAAATTTCGGGCCTTCTTCCTTCCATAGTCGACTGGCGAAATCACTTTAGCCATATCATTCTTCTGAATTCTTCAAACAGGTATAGTCCCCTTGGGACAGCTTCCCTTTTGTTGCCACAGCTGTGATGTCCCAAACATGGAGGAACCAATGTCGCTTTTCGTGAATGCTTCAAGCATTCCCGCCGTCATCATGGACGGATTGTCACTCGGAGCCATCTGAATTAGGAGAAGAAAGCTTGAAATATGATGAGAGCCGTGTGAATTCGTCATTACATGAAGGCTATCATTACCATTTGCTTCTTTGCAACAAAAAAATGATTGACATCTCCCTCGTATATTTTATGTCAAAGATGTAAAGGAGGAGGGAAGGGGGTAAAGAAACAAACTTGGAGTCCGACCTGAATTGTGTGATTCCTTAGAGCCGAATGGCGAAAAGCAGGTTGCTTATAGATATATGCAATCTACAGGCACAAAAACAGTTGGTAGTCATAGCCAGATTTGTCAAGCAAATGTCTCAATGCGGATGATTTCATTATGCTCAAATTTCTCAATTAGGCCTTACTGCGATCTCTTAAATCAACCCAGCGGAGGACTGTGCACAAGAAAGTATCGGTTGAGGCAATACCTGTTCCAAATTACGGAACTGAAACTAGGGCTATTCTGTGTTATCTTGGTTAAACGACTAAAATCTCATTTCCCTATCTCCTCTTACAGTGCCTTATGTAATAGAGTCCTGCTAGAATTTTCTACTTTCCAAGGTTTGGCGTTATCTTTAACAATCCTTAATTAACTGTACCCGGAAAAGTAATGACGAAACTGAGAGGAGTGTGTGAAGTAACTGATATAGAAAGGCCTAAAAATACCTCTTTGTTGTATGTCTTTTGAGCCGGTTTATTTTTTCTCCAAGTTCCATCGTCTTCTTAGATCGAGAAGTCAAGGCTCTAGCCACGGCCCTCAAACCAATGAAAACGACTGCCGATGTAATGCAGTCACTTTTGACATAACTCCCTGTTACTCATTTCAGTCCACAGAGAGTGCATGCACTTCAGTCTTTGAGTTGCATAGATTGATAAAAGTATGCCAAATGTTGCTACGTCGAACGTTGCTCCTCGATGGAATTATTTGGCAAAGTCTAGTAGTAACATATCTTTGTGCATTTACAGGTACAGAAGTTGATCAATCAGTCACATCTTTTGATTAAAAATGCTACTGGCTTAGGCAAAACTTCATTAGTCAACTCTCTTGGTAAGAAATTTTGCGAGGACCATGATGATAGATATCCATCACAAAGCACAAGGAGGAGCCCGAGAACCCTGGCCACCAGATGGAGTGTTCTGCAGAGCATTCTTAGGGGGTGTTTGGTTCAGCTTTGGGAAGGGGCTTTGAGCCTCGAAAGCCCCTTCCCAAAATGCTGGGGTGTTTGGTTCAGCATTTGGCCTAGCATTTGGCCAATGCTAGCATTCCACGAATGCTACTGTTCACGTCTCTTTTTTTTTTTTTTTGGTTTGAAGCTGTTCATCTTCTTCACCAGGCAGCCTGCGAGGGTGGCCGGCGAGGTCGCCTGGGGTCGCTCGACCCAGGCCATCGCCGCCTGAGGTCGCACGACCCAGGCGGCCGTCGCCTGGGTCGTGCGACCCCCGCCGAGGGTCGCCTGGCCTCGGGCGACCGCCGGCGATGGCAGATCTGGCTCACCGGGGGTCGCCCGACCTCGGGCAACGGCCGCCGGCGCCAGATCTATCTCGCCGGCAGCCGTAGGCCATCGCCGGCGGCCGTAGGCCATCGCTAGGTTAGTTTTTTTTTTTAATAAATAAGATAATTCTCAAAGTCCATTTGTAAAAAAAATTCACCAAACACTATATTTTGGCCAAAGTAGCTTTACAAAATATTTTTACCAAACACCATTTGCATTTCCCCAATGGTCTTTCACCCAAAGGTATTTGCATTCCCCCAAGTAGCATTTTCAAAGTTGAACCAAACAGGCCTTTAGTACCTGGATTTACGGGAACGGCTTGCAGAGGATGTGGCCGTACACTCTTCTCCATTGATAGCGAACATCCCAAACCCTGCTCATGGAATTCCATTGCATCACCATCACCAAGGATTTGGGTTCCTTCGGGTGTTCCTCCGGCAGGCTTCAGTTATTTCCCCACGTACGTTATGCCCGTCATGAGCTTCAGTGCTTCGGGTTCATCTGTAGAACGAACAAACGGGTTTTGTCGACCTGTCCAACACGGTCAAACGGGCCAATTATCTGGGGAGGAAGTTGACATTCTGCAACATCAGAATTCATCTAACATACCTAAGCAAAGAAAAGGATCAGTTGCTCAGATCAAATTCCAAGCCAATAAAGACAGTGAGTTGCAGGTGAGCACGGGGAGTAGTCCTAGCAAGAAACCACCAGAGGGACTTGGAAATGTCCAATCCTCGGAGGGGAAAGAAGCACTCCCACTTTTTAAAGTTGCTCCAGTGTTTTTGAAGGGGTATCCCAGCTTCGCGAGGCGCACCAACCAACAAGGGTTATTAGAAGTGTGCCTCACAACGCTAGATCTGCAACCCAGTCCGTGGCTCGAATATTCAGGTCTATACAAGAAGAGAGGAAACAGTCCGACTCCATTTAGAACTCGGCTAACTATGTCGGTCTCTCTTATAGTTGTAAACTCAGAAACTCATTTGAGTTCCGAGTGTGAGAGTTTATGTATCAGTGTTCTATTTATCTTTTGGTCAGTATAGATTGGTTTATGTAAAGTTCTTGACCAGATTACATTTGTCATCTCGGTGTAAGTCGCTAAAGGTGTCTGTTGATAAGGGTAAGGTAAATTTTGTTCCAGTAAATTGGCGTCCTATGCATCGCTGCAATGTAACTTCTGACCGAAGAGCCTTCTTGTGTTTTGCCTGTTGTATCAGCAATCTCATCATTTTCTTTAAGGGAGTCGAGAAGCTTGCGACTATTGGGTACTGTAAATTTGCTCCGTATGATGCATGCAATGACGCCCGAGGATGGATCGTTTTCAGCATGCCCTTGCTCGGTGCCCATAAGTAAATCTCTCGACTTTCAAGCAATTTTTTGCTATGGACGTATTACTGATGCTTGATGAGGGAACTTTAGATCTATAGTATTTGTCATCTATGGGGAATGCTATTTCACTTTTACAGATGGGAGTTCAAAAGCTTGTGAACACAAATGAAATTCTCTGAAAGGAACTTCTGTCTGCAATACTTGCATGACATTCACGTATCAATCATGGGCAGAAATTATTTCGGCCCGGCCCACCGAAGTAGAAAACAGGCTCGTCGATGTACCCATCTCTATGGTTCTGTCCATTGTAGCAATACACTTCATCATTCCAAACCCCAACCATATCAGGGTACTTGAGTGAAAGTGAGTAGTCCACAATCCTAACATGGTTGATGTAGCAGGCATGGCCATGGAGTGCCTCCGAGTACTCCCCACTTCCCATGGCAGTTCTGGTGTGAGGAGTCTTCTTCACCATCGTACTGTACACTTGACCTCCCCAATTGACCATTATGGCGCTGGTCTTCAAGGAGGAGAAAAGAGATGCGGGAAAATACCCGAGGACCAGGTTGTTCGTGAGGCGTAGCCACCAGTTGGAAGTATTCGGATCCTGGTTCAATGATAACCATCTCTGTTCAGAATATACAAATTTCTCTAAAGAGAACTTACAACTTCTTAAGTTAGACCTGAATTATTGGGCGGACTCGATTCGAATGAAATTGTAAAACGGGTGGAGTGGTTAAATCAGGATTAACATAGAGGCTAATCGTGATTTGTCAACTAATTTCCCACTTAGCTTTGTTGTGGTCATGCCCAATGGGCAAATCATTGTCCTGGCGCACATGGACACCTCGGGGCAGTTAGGTGTCAAACGAGCCCACTCAAACAGGGATTTGCCGAACGGGTCTACTGCAAGTAAAGAAGGCAGAGAAGACCAAGAATTTAAGTACCCTGAAAATGCTGACTGATATCTGATATTGTGCCCATTCAGAAGATATCGGACCCAGGGCAGAGCCGAGGGCTACCTCGGAACTAGTTTGAACAAATCCAGAACAGGTCAAATCGAAGCAACCCGTGGCATCGTTTCCATCAGCCTGTGTCGTAAAGGAAAAGGAAGATAAACAATTAGTTAAACAATTTAGCTCAGCCGAAAAGAAATGGTCTATTACGATGGTAAAGTACTCACGGTCCAATAAGCGAAAAGCCTAGCTTGCTTATCTCCATATAACTTTGGGTTCACCTGAGAATAGGACAATCCTTTTGAGCCATCTCAATAGATAACCAAAAACTATCAGGTTAAAAGTAAAAGAGGCCTAGACTAAAACTGAAAGACGAACCATCCACCCTGATTCGACGCTTTCGTACTTATCACCGGGCCCAGCCAGAAGCCATATCTGGGCTGTAGTGAAGTCATCTGGCAAATCAACATTCGGATTCCAGAGGTTTATGTCGCCCGAAGCTCCTATGTAGTGGTACCCAGCTGTATAAAGCATTGCTTGCTGCCCGTGAAACATAGTGAAATGGTATTACTAGACAATGAACGTGTGAGGGAACAAGTTTCTGTTAGCAGATAAAAGTGAAACGAATGCTTACGGAACGATCTTTTTGATAAGGAAGAGAGACTTGGGTTCCATTTATGACCACATTTTGACCAATTTCATCGATGGTTGAATTAGCCACGTGGTCATGTGAACGAGGATGATACATTTTCCCAAATTGGTCAGGACTAGAAGCTCTCAACAAGTCTTGCCGCCGGCTTCGTCGGATGGGAATAGTTCCATCGGGACAACTTCCACTCTTTTGCCAAGTCTGAGATATTACTAGTTTTGAGGACTCATTTTTCGTTGCTTTGTTTTCTGAAGGCAATTTAATGCTGGGTTTCATCTGCATTTGAAGGAAGAATAGTAAATGAGGTTTCCAGAAAATATCCCCAAAAAGAAGGAAGGAAATATCAAGCTGCTCTTAATATATAGGATCAAAACGTGCAATCCGCTGATTCGAGCTCTCAAGACCAGCCAGTTCAATTCAAGAAAAAGCTATTTAGAACTTATCAGTCTCGAAAAATGTTTGTGATCAAAATTTCACTTGTAAGTAAGAGAGCTAAGGTTACGACACGGACCTGAATGACATGGTTCTTCAATGTGGGATGGTCAAAGGCTGGTTGCTTGTGCATGTCAACGCAGTCGATGATATCTCCATCTGCACTCTATCAATCAAACAAAAACTGGACATCAGTCTGTAACTTAATTTATTGGCAGCGAACAAGCTTTCATTAATTATTTCCATTAAGTAGCTAACGAACAAATGGGTGTCTGAAACGCACTTCTCTTTTGTGTTTTGAGTGAGTAAGGGCGTGCGCGCGTGAGATAGAGTAAATGAGAGAGAGCAACTTTTCTCAAAGGACTTAAATTACTACACCTCTGCTTATCTACTCGAGCCAAAGGATGAGTACTGTAGATTTGACTTCAGCAAAAAGATTGGTGCATGATTGAAGTACAGTGCAACAACAATACTGGGGACATGGAAGTAAAATTTAACATTTCTTGTATGGTGATTTGTGGGGATCCAATATATGGCATTACTTTCTGGCCAAAACTGGAAAAAGATAAAACGAAAACAGAGGAAGAAATGCATATCACATATTCATATCATTAGTTCTATTGGGTGGTGAAATTCTATTTGGAATACAGCAAAATTGTTCTGGATCTTATGGCTCACATGAATGTTATTACTTTTTCCTGAAATGGCTCCGGAAAAACACGGGTTTTGTACCCAAAGCAAATGTTCCATGACGATTGTGGAACTGAGATTCATAACATTGTTATCAGAAGAGACGCCATATATGACCGAAAGATCGAAGTCTTATGAGATATTAGTGTAAGCTAATGCGAAATAGCCGAAATCCAGAAAACAAGTCAGAGATTTTTTTGCCCCCCCCAACAAAAGAAGTCTTTCTCGGGCCAAGAAATCCTTTGAAAAAGCTGGTTGTCTCCTATTTGATATAATTCTCACTGATTGGTTCTTCAAAACCATGAATGAATATCAGCAGGAAGCCTATTCAAGAGGAGATGAAGGCAACATGATACCTGAATGCTCTTCACTGCAGGCTTATTAAGAAGCCTGAGTCTCCTGTTAATATCATCGTCGTCCTCTGAAGCCTCTCTGTTCATTGATTTTCTTGATACACTATTAGCCAATGTGGCCCAACACAATGTCATAGCCAAGAAAAGCAGAAATCCCACTTTCTCCATCGTTCCTTTTGCTTCTCAGCAGGAAAATGACTGAAGGGAAAGGGAATAAAAAGGATTGAAATAATACAGAAAAGGGAATATCCAAAATTCAATGTTTATCCAAGAAAGCCAAGAACCTTGAAAAATCCCAATTTGCGACTGTAATTGACTTGTCATATTTGCTTGGGTTAAAACAGAAAGTACTCGTCTGCCAACAAAAAGCCAAATATAGAACGAAAAGACATCAATACACAGATCAGTTTGGTTCATGTGAATTAAGATAAGATTGACTGAACTTTGACCCCTTAAGTTAACATCAACACAGAAAAAACGTCAACCTTCATGACTTTTCTGCCGAATGCCATTGTGTTCTTTACAGATTGCGGCAATGCACGAGAAACTGACCGAAAATGATCTGCACTGCAAGAAAATTTGCCGAGCATGCTGATTAGGAGCATGAATTTTCTCTAAGCAGAAGAAGATCAGGGATCTAAAGTATGATTTGAATATGGGGACTGCCGGTTCATTAAACCTCATAAACGGCCTTGTGATTATGGTATAAAATCCACGAGATTAATTTTTTGGACCAATGGGGCTTCACCATACGAGTTTGTTACTGTGTTCTGGCTTGGACTTCATGCTTAATTTGATGAGCGGCTCAGGCCAGCTCCGGATAATACAAGCCAGAACCATGCCTCCAGGTTTACTTCAGCTGCCGATTGATCAGGTCTGAAATTTTAAGACATGTAAGAAAGACTTTCAACTGGTGAAAAATAAACGGGAATATAAATGTTCGTTTTTTTTAAAACTCTGTTCATAACATCTGCTATATGAGGATCAGGCTGAAAAACAAGAAACTAGCGGCCGCAATGTCTAGTCAGGGGCACAACTCATTCCTTCCAGGACCTCCAAAATAAAATTCAGGATCTTCAATATAATCCCCAAGGTATCTCACATCATAACACCTAAACTCATCTGTGTAGTGGTCAATCTGTTCAGGGAACTTCAGGATCATCGAGTTATCGCGGACCCGTATTCTCTTCACGTATCCGCTCGATTCTTCGAGGATGGGGAACTGCCCGCTGCCCATTTGTGTCGACGTGTGGGGTGAAAATCCCCCAATTCTTGAGCTATACACTTCGCCTCCCCACTGCACAGTTTGTGCAGTTTGAGGTAGGTAGGCAAATAGCTCGGGCGGGAAGTAACCGACATTCGTCTTCTCGTCATATTGAACCCACCAGTTGCCGGTGTTTGGATCCTGAAATCACACGGAGAAGTCGTTACCAAGGCCTTTCAATTCGTCAGAGAAGCTAAAAGTAACTAGTTTGGGAATTCTCCAAGTAGTATCTCGCTATGGTCATAGATCACTACTATCTGACCTTGAAGAGATAAAGTGTTATTTGATATGGAAGGCCATCTGTTGTCGAGATGGGATGAATGGCCGCACCGAGGGCAATCTCGCTGCTCGTTTGAACAAAACCAGGGCAAGTGAGATCGAAGCAGCCAGTTTTTTTCCCGGAGTCAGCCTGATACACAGAAGAGGAAGATACAATATTGGTTTTGCACTGTCATACCAAAACCAAACAAAGATCAAGTCAAGGTGTGACTGGAAGTCCTACTTTTACATACAATTAAAAAAAAAGGAAAATTTGTTGCGGTGACTGCCAATGAGACCCGGTATATTTGTCGTGTTTATCTAAATGAAGAATGAGTTCAGATGATGAGCTTACTGTCCAATATACAAAAAACCGAGTCTTCCGGTCGCCATATAAGCCAGGATTCACCTGAAAAGTTCGAATCATTAGGAGTCAGGGTAGAATTACCGTAAAGCAACTGTCACATAGCTATCACTTGGTTAAACTAAATGATGAATTCAGATTGTTTAGCGGCGATTTGCACATACCGCCCATCCAGATTCGACGCACTCATAATCTTGAAGAACGGCGCTCTTTAGAGCAATTTGAGAAGTGGTCCATTCATCATCATACTCGACATGCGGGTTGAAAACTTTAATGTCTCCTTTGGCTCCAGTGTAACTATAACCTTCTGTGATCAATATGGCCATCTAATTCACAGTACAACCAATGTCGAAAATGTAAGTGTTGGCATGAACTATTAATATAACTCTCCCCAAATAAAAAAGTAAGAATGCATACATACAGAGTGATTACTCTGAAGGAGGTTTTGAATTTTATTCTCATCCATCTCAGTGCCTTGATGGGATTTTTGGGCCTTCTTCCTTCCATAGTCGACCTGCCAGCTCACCTTAGCCATGTCATTCTTCTGAATTCTTCGAACGGGTATAGTCCCCTTGGGACAGCTTCCCCTTTTTTGCCACAGCTGTGATGTCCCAAACATGGAGGATCCCATGTCACTTTTTGTGAATGCTTCAGGCATTCCGGTAGTCATGATAGACGGATTGTCACTCGGTGCCATCTGAATTAGGAGAAGAAAGCTTGAAACATGATGAGTATGTGAATTCATCATTACAAAAAGGCTCCAGATCATGTTACCATTTGCTTCTTTGCAACAAAGAAATGATTAACATCTCCCTCGTATATTTTATGTCAAAGATATAAAGGAGGAGGAGGGAAAAGGGTAAAGAAAAGAGAATAAAGAAACAAACTTCGAGTCCGACCTGAATTGTGTGATTCCTTAGAGCTGGATGACGAAAAGTGGGCTGCTTATAGATATCGATGCAATCAATGATGTCCCCATCTTCACTCTACCAGCACGAAAATAGTTGGTAGTCATAGCCAGACTTTTCAGGCAGATATCTCAATGCAGATGATTTCATTATGCTTACATATCTGTTACTTAGGCCTTGCTGCGATCTTAAAGCAAACCAACAGAGGAATGTGCGCGCAACAAAGCATTATTTGAGGTGATACCTAGTCCAAACTACGGAACTGAAACAAGGCCTATTCTTCGTTTTCTTGGTTAAACGACTAAAATCTCATTTTCTATCTTCTCTTTTGGTGCCTTAGTCAAGCTATAATCTTCTACTCTCCAAGGTTTGGCGTTATCTTTAACAATCCTTCATTAGCTGTACCGTGAAAAGTAATGACGAAACTGAGAGGAGTATGTGAAGTAACTGATATAAAAGGGCCTAAAAATACCTGAATACTCTTTATTGCATGCCTTTTGAGCCAGTTAATTTTTCCTTCAACTTCCAACTTCTTCTTGGATCGAGAAGTCGATGCTCCGGCCACAGCCCTCAAACTAATGAAAACAACTGCCAATGTAATGCAGACCGTTTTCACATTGAGAACAGAAGAGAACAGTCTGCTGCCCATTGTTATCAAATTATGTCTGAAATACTGAGTACCGTGAATAGATTTTGAGGAACACATATAATATGTCCAGGAAAGAGATGATATGCTGTTTTGGTTAAAAGCAGGCAATCAGTAGCATGTGATTGAACTACATGCAGTAGCACAAAATGCACATGACTCACCTTCTTACCATCCAAGTCTCATTCATTCAAAATTTTAGTGTTTTTCCAGGGTAACACACGAATGCAGCAGAGAATTTGCGTGAACCGGACCCGTCAAGCAAGGCCTAAACCAAATTCTTTTATAAAAATCACAAAATCGAAAGGAATGAAGACTCGTTGTGCTCGTGTGAGAGCCTAGGCTAGACCACTGTGCTCACGAACAATTCCTAGTATGATGGCATTCGATTGTGCCGAGCCAGGCCAACTCTCCCGCTTGAGTCAAACCTGATGTAGCTCAGCCTCGAATCTGTGCGCTCCGTGCGATTCGCGTGTTTATATACTGTCGAAAGACCAGACCGTCGAATGGACTCCAGGGACTCTGAGATTAGACTTCATTATCTTCTCCTAAGATGTAACTAATGCGCAGAAAGTGGAAAGAGAGGACCGTAGTTTCTGCGATGAAATTGCAGTTGCCCTCCATCGAAAACAAGGAATGTTCGACAGCTTTCATCATAGAACTCGTTTAAACTTAGGAATATCCTCACATGATTGTATGTCTACTACAGAGTGGTTCCATGCCTGACACCATCATCAAAGTCATCGTCCTGTAAATCAAATGCAGGTCCTTGGTTTCACTGCAGCACATGGATTATATGGCATTGTTCATGCAATCTCACAATGATGAGAGCTCCTGTAAATCTTTTCTATGTAATTTGCAACGTTTTCATGTAAAGCGGGGCCCCACTATATGCCTTCGCGTTGTGACCGTGGTCCTTCCATTCTAGGGTTAAAATATAGTAATTCTGATGAAGAAGATGGAGAATATTCTCTCTTTTATAGTAATGGACTTGTTACTATAATTAGTATTCTTAACTAATGAAATTTCTATGTATTGACGATGCGCATATAATGCGATGATCAAATTAATCGAGGTCAAAATCTAGGATATTTCACCATTTTTGTAATATCGAGGAGTGCCCACATCGGATAAGAGAGACCATGATAGGTGGTTTTCAAGTAAAATCCGTCCTTAATTGTTGCCTCTTTTTGTGTTTACACATGAGTGCGCCTTTTGGAGGCTTGGCCCATGCGGAATGGCCTAGGTGATTAATGCATTAACTTGATTTCTAGAGCTCGCCGTGATATCACTGATCGAATGTTTTATCTCTTTCTTGCATTTAAGAATCAACTCCATTATTTTTTTTATTACCGAGATAGGGATCATGCAAGCTCTTAATTCACTTTTTAATACACCCCTGTCAACTACGAGATCGCGCTACAAAAAAAGAAAAACCATAACAATGAACCACAAAATGGAAAGGATTTGATTACCGAGTATGAATTTAAATCGGATTTGTGTATTGAATGAAGTTAATGCTCATACCCCACCCTGACGTATTTAGTAATGCCCCTCATTTTATGTGAGAAACCCATCCAAATTCGACAGTTGGAATGAGTATGGATCGATCGCACTTTTTAACTTTTTACACTGATCATCCTTCAGCCTCATTCTCTCGTGATTTTTTTTTTTTTTGTTTATCACGATTGTGTTTTTGGGTTTTGAAATTTGACAAATTTGTTCATGAGATTTCGTTAATCAGCTCTTCAGGAGCACTAGTTACAAATTTGTTCATGAGATTTCGTTAATCAGCTCTTCAGGAGCACTAGTTAGGCAATCAGATTCGAAAAGTTGGTAACTTTTAATGCGTTGACTTTTTACAAATCATGATTTCGTGCATGGTAATTTCTTTCGACAGCCGTATTGTTTTTCATCTTTTAACCACGTTAAACAAGGGGAAGCGAAGAGACACGTCTCGACACGACCGAATTGTCTAACCAGTCTTTTATTCTCCGATCCTTCTTCTTCTGGCAAGTCGTCTCCTTGACGACGTGGTGTTTGGAGTCCGACGAAGGAAGGGTCGAGAAGTTGCCCACCACCACCACCTCATCAATCAGCGAAAGTGAAAGCGACCCGACAAAGCAAAAGCTCTCGCGTTCACCCGTCGCTCGCACGACTCACCCTGTGAATTGATTCCGCAGAACTGCGGAAAAGCTCCCGAAACCCATGCTCAAGAACCCGACATTAGCGAGCCCCCCCCCCGCACTCTCTCCGCACACCCATGTTCTCTTTTTCTTGTATAGACCAAGCCCCACTTTGCCTAACACCCTCGACCTCTATATTTGACCCGAAACCATGGCATCTGCGTGAGCGCTGTGCAAAGTTCTCTTCTTTCCGCTGAATCTGGCGCGGTTTAGTACGTTAAGAGTACCGGATCATCGGCCCAGGTTTGACTCGCGAGCTCTTTAGTCGATTTTGGGCGATGAAATCTTATCTTGTTCATACCCTTTCTTGAAATTCTCGTCTTCTTTGTGTAGGAAGGTGGTTCTGGTGCGTTGTTTGCGTAGTTGGATCTGTGCTAGTGTCTGGTTATAGAGAAAACAGGGGTTTGTTTGTTGAAGCTGGAGGGACGGAGATTTATAGGTAATTACCGGAAAATGAATTCAGTGGAGTTTCGCCGTTGCGCGGGGTGTTTGCGGATCTGATATCTTGCTGAAGAACTTGGGTACAAGTGATTTGCAGATATGCAAGCAAGGGCGGTATTATCAGAGGAAGGCAAGGATCTTCCTGGGCCGAATCGGACGAACCAAACGAAGGCTTTGCCTCTAAGATTGCTTCAGTTATTTGTGCCTTTTGTGTTAGTGTGTATTGCATTTTCAGTCATTAGCATATACACTATTCGGCGTTTTGGGATTCAAAGCATGGTTACAACTGCTAAGTCCGGTTTTCAGCCGTGCTATGAAGAAGCCAATAGTTTAGACCGTTGGATTCGGCCTCCGTCGGATCTTCTTCATAATATGTCTGATAAAGAACTGTTTTGGAGAGCAACCCTTGCTCCTAAAATCAAGAAGTATCCATTCAAAAGAGTTCCGAAAATTGCTTTCATGTTCTTGACCAAGGGTCCATTGCCGCTGGCTCCTCTTTGGGAGAGGTTCTTCAAGGGCCACGAGGGGCTTTATTCGATCTATATTCATTCCCATCCATCATTCCATGCCCACTTTCGTCCTTCGTCGGCATTTAACAAGAGACAAATCCCAAGTCAGGTATGATTCTCTTCACGTCTGGCGTGTGCACCTATATGTATCGATGACTTGGACTTTCCAGCTATTTCCATTTTCCGCTCTTCGCGGTATTTAAATATATTGAACGCAGGAACAGCTTCTTGGTCTGGGTCATTTTGGTTTGTGTTCCTGTGTTGTTTTGGAGTATTAATTTTTTCAGGTGGATGATGATCTTGTGGCATTTCAGAACTTAAATCTATTTAACAGGACACAATCTCCTGTCAGTTAGATAGAGATTGAGGGCCTCATTTAGGTGATAGCATACCACTGGTAGCAGCCATTATCAAACACGACTAGGGAAATACAATTTTGGGATACAAGTCAAGCATCAGGGCTATCTTCCATATCCAACATTGCCATTGTTATCAAGTATTGTACATGTAGCGTTTGTTGTCCTCTGGATTTGAACTTTGTCTACTGGCTAGACAATACTTTGGTGAGGCCTGATGCGCAGATAATCTGCAGAATGTTTGAATTGTAGTCGACTACTGAGTGGCCACATATGGAGTAGCTATATGGGATATCGGAGTAGGAATTTTGTTGGACTGAGAATTGAATTGTGGGGTCAATCTCTTCATGGCTATGGAGTATTTCATCCGTTGTTCATTTAAAGTTGTTGTTTTTAAAGTCTAAGATAAAGGGAGATAGTCGGAATTGGTTTGGATTGATAGTTGTAGGTGGAGTCTTCTATGACTAGCTTTACTGCCACAGTTAGAATTGGACAGGAGAAAGTTTTCCATGGAGAATATTTGAAGAATATAGATGCTTGATATTCAACTCAAGGGAAGATTTGTTAGTCTGTTGAGTTCTGAGAGATAGCCATGGCTCACCCATCAGTTGCATTATGTGAACAATAGTTGCTAACCTGTCAATTGGGAGTATGTGTTTGCTTCCATTATTTGGATTGTACAGTTTTAATTTGATCCTGCTGGAATTTGTGCAGTAGATGGTATAGACTGGTTTTGTTCCTCTTTTTCCCATGCTTATAAGTTTATTCACCGTTAGTGTTTTGGGAGTCTAAAGTGAGGATGACAGTTGCCTGTTGAATTATGGCAGTGCAGGTTATTCTAAGTTGGGCATCCTTATTTAGAGGACTTATGCACTGTATGATGTTTTGGAAAAGATTAATACATAGATGTGCGTTTTGGAGTATTTCTATTGGGTGGTAAATGCGAGGGAACAAATTGCGCTGCATTTGATAGTTCCCTAGTGCTCTCTCTGCCTACATGTGAAGAGTTTGCATGGGCAGCAAATCAAATATTAGCTATTTCGATCATGCTTTTGTGGTTGCGCTAATCTTCTCACAGGTTGCTTTTATGCGGTGCTGAGAGGACTGAAGACAGTTTTTTAGCTCATTTAGCTCATATTTCTTGCCTAGCTGTTCTATTTGATCTAAACTCCTCTGTTCCATTTAATCTTTTCACAGTTTGCTTCTCTGTTCTTTTGTCCTTCAGGTGTCTGAGTGGGGCAGGATGAGCATGTGTGATGCGGAGAGAAGACTCGTAGCCAACGCATTGCTAGACATATCCAATGAGCGGTTCATTCTTCTTTCTGAATCATGCATTCCGCTGTATAACTTCAGCCTCATCTATCACTACACTATGAAGTCCCGATATAGCTTCATGGGTGCATTTGATGATCCCGGACCATACGGGAGAGGACGATACAATGAGAATATGGCCCCCGAAGTGAACATCTCCCAATGGCGTAAAGGATCGCAATGGTTCGAAATCAACCGAAAGCTCGCTATAAACATTGTGGAAGATGCTACTTATTACCCGAAATTTGAGAGTTTCTGTAGGCCAGCGTGCTATGTTGACGAGCACTATTTCCCTACAATGCTGACCATCGAAGCAGGAAATCTCTTGGCCAATAGAAGTATCACGTGGGTGGACTGGTCGAGAGGCGGCGCTCACCCTGCCACGTTCGGAAGGTCTGATATTACAGAAGAATTTTTGCAGAAAATAAACAAGGACCGTCACTGCACCTACAATAACCGAAACTCTTTAATGTGTTTTCTTTTCGCAAGAAAGTTCGCTCCGAGTGCATTGTATCCTCTCCTAGAATTAGCTCCAAAAGTTCTTGGCTATTAATAGATGCCAAACGAGGAATGCATTTCAAAATTGCCTTTATACATTCAATGTGTTGGGTGGTGCTCGAAATCGCTCGGGTTCCTAATTTGCTTTCATCCTTTGTACATGAGGCATAATCAGAGGCACCGCCCAGACAATATATTCTTGATGTACAGAGAGGGGAAGCTGCTAGCTTGTAGTTTTGGTTTCATATTGAGATTTGTGCTAAAAATTGAGAGTTATTGTTTCAAGAATTGCTTCTTCTGCACCATCCTGCTTCTGCAGGTATTGAGTCATATGTTCTGTTCTCGACGGTGGGAGATTTTTCGAAAACTTTGGATGTGATTGTCATTCGATTAATTGTACTAACGTTAGGTCGGCCGAACTAGTTCTTACTCAAATTATTCAGGCAGAAGCACATGCCGTTCCTTCGTTCTCCTAAAATATATGGAGGGAAACTTGAAGATTTGCCCAATTCAATATTGCCTCTCAGGACTGTATGAAACAAAGAAGCAGACCACACCGCACTACCAAAGAAAGGGGCAAGACCATCGCTCACGCCCTGTCATGCTTCCATCTGCTGGGCTCTGTACAAAAAGCATGAAAGGGCAGAGGAATGGGAAGACAGAGCCATGAACCCTGAAGATGGACGAAGCAGATGGGGCAAAGCTTCCTGAATTGAGCACTACGCATGGCACAGAATAAAACCAAACGCAGCATCACATTTCATTTGATTTTGACCCCCAAGATGAAGCGCGCACCATATACAAATGAAGATGGGATTCTTTCTGTTGAGGAACACTTATCATGACATTCACCGCATCTTTTTCTTTCCTAATGCTTATTCTGCACTCATACAGCTGTGCCTAGGTCTGCAATCTCACCCACCAAAGAATGTCCCCATCCTTCCATTATAATTGCCAAATAGGAAAAAAAGAAGAAATGGGAGAAGAGAATCTCAGCAATGTGGGTAACATGATTGGACCACCCCAACCAAAAAAAGATTTGTGTGAGAGAGACCAAAGATACATAAAAAAAAAAAAATGGGGCATTTGGCATTGCTTTCACTTTCCTTGTTGCATCTCCATGAGTTTGTGTCAAGTAATTTGAATTTTGCTTCTGTTTTTGGGGGTCCACAACTACATGGTATTGGCAAAAGCTGATTTCAGATGCCTTCTTGCCTTTGCTTTTAGTCTGGTTTTTTTGCAGTTGGAACGGGGCTTAAAAGATCAGATGATGCCAAAAAAAGTGCAGTCCCCCCCCTGGTTCACACCCTTATTTCCATGACATTCAGAAAAAGAAAAAAATCTTTCCATGACATATCTATTTTTTTTAAATCTAAATTGATGATATTAAGAATGAAATAAACTTGAATATGTACGACATTAATCCTCGTCGATCCAGGGCAAGAAAATCGTGAAAAAAGGAAGAAAAATAAGCCGAATTCGAATGCATCCTCAATCTCAAATCCTAAATCGCACCAAATCGGGTATATTTAGTGTCTTGCGAAAAGAACCTTACCAAAATTGTGCGGTGTCCGTATTGAATGTATCTTTCTACCTATCGAACCGGTTTAGTAAAATTAGATCTTTAGGTACGTGCTTCCCCGACACCAACTCGCTTAATTTGTTAATAGGTTTGTTTTTAGCGATCCGATTGTGGGACGCACCACAATAAAGTGACTAAAGCCTGATCCGGCCACGGCCGCGACCGCGACCGGAAGCGACCCGGCGGCGAAGGTTCTGGAAACGTAACGCACGGGGTCTCCTCTAGCACATCGGACCCGACCATACACCTGTCTTGTCGATTTTAGGGAAAAAAAAAAAAAGAAAGAAAAGGAAAAAAGGAAAGAGAGAGAGGGGGAAGAACGGAAATATCCAGAGCGGGACACGTGTCGGCCTCCTGTTGGCGGGTGCTGGGCGGTCCCGATTGCCGCGTGTGGGGCCCTCCCCCCCGCCCCCGGGGCGAGGCGCGTGAATTCCACTACAGGCGGTTGCGCCGTCGGAAGCGGCGGCGCGTGAGAAATCATCGAGCCGGGGGAACGACGTCGCTTTCACCACCCCCGACCGAGAAATCCATCGACTTTACTTTTAACCTTCCGCCACGCCGCAGACGACGGCGGCCACCTCCGACTGTCGTGTTTTTTTTCAACCGCCTTTCCGCCGAGACATCCTCGACGACAGCCGAAGTCGCGTTTTTTTCCGAAAATGCCCCCCGGGGGGGGTGGGTGGGCCCACCAACAGAAGACACCAGCTGTTGCGCCAACAAAATCGCCAGCTGTACACATCCCCGGGCAGCAGCTGCCCGCGATTCCTCACACTCTCTCTCTCTCTCTCTTTTCTGTATATAACCGCGCCCTGCTCCACCATCTTGTCGCTCTGCTCACACTCTGCTCACGCTCTGCACTCCGGAAAACCCTAGCTCCTCCCCCCCTCCTCGCCCTTGCGAAAGCTCGAGAGATCGTGGCAATGGCGGCCGTGAAGCTCGCGAACGTGGCCGTGGCGGCCCTCGCCCTCGCCCTCCTCACGGCGCTCGCCGCGACCGCCCAGGTCGACGCCCCGGCGCCGAGCCCCACCTCCCCGGCGAGCGACGTCTCCCCGTCGATCCTCTACGCCGTTGCAGCAGCCGTCGCGGCCTTCGTCTTCGGTTCCGCGCTCAGGATCTGAAGCGGCGCCGTCCTGTCCATGCGGCGGCGGCGGCCGCGGGGGGGGGGGGAGAAGAGATTCTTGGCTTTCTGCTGTCGGCGGTCTATTACTAGGCATAGAAGGATGATATTTGTCGTGTGGTTTTTCTTAGGCGATTTTTTTTCCGCGGTGGATCCGCGAGTTCTGTTCCCTCTGTGTGTGTTTTCTTGCCGGTTGTGGAGACGTTTGAGTACATACCGTCGGGTGGCTGCTGCTGCTGCTGCTTCTTCTTCGTCGTCTTCGTAGTTAGAGAGTCGGTGCACAGTCTCTGATGTTTACATCATATATATCTCTCTTTATATATAAATAACAGATTCGTTTCATTATACATCCCCTCCTCCTACTCCTCCTCTTCTTCTTCTTCTTCTTCCTTGTCGTGGTGTTCGATGGCCCCCCAATGTCGCGACGTTTGAGGCGGTGGTAAGAACAGTGACGCTTCGTGGGGTGCGTTGGAGCGTGGGATCGACGCTAATGGGGCTTGTTCTTAACTTTGCTAAGAAGGGCCAATGATGACGATCGATCTTTAATCATTAAGGCTGAGTGAGTAATGGCGATCGGCGCAATGGGTACTTGGGGGTAGTGGTGGTGGTGGTGATGATGCGGTGGGAGGTAGGTAGCTATCTTTTGTCCTTTGTCTTGTCGTGGTCGTGAATGCCGTGCGTGCTGGGGTCCGCTCGATCACATGCGCGGGGGGTCGTACCGTCGGACGACGCTGGTCGGACGGCCCAAAATCGAGTCGTACGAATAATTTACTACTGCTCTCATGTTGTTGGGTTCGAGATCGCCGTGTGAACTGAACTGGATTTTGACGGACCGTGATTTGCGGTTTGAACAGACTCCCAACAAAAGGGAAGAAGAGCGCTTTTTCGGCTCTTGGTTCGAGTCACGATTCCACCATCTTTTCCGTTTGGCCCTTCTTTCGCGTCCCTCCCTTCTTTTCCCAGAATTTGACCGTGGAAAAGGGGGTCGCGGGGTACATGTTCGACGTCGTTTCCCTGGGCTTTTTCCCCACCTCCTCCTTCTCCTCCTCCTCCTCCTCCTCCGCCATTCTTTTTCTGGGGAGCGTGAATGGACGAAAGCTTTTGTTGGGGGGGAGGAAATTGCGAGCTTTGATGGCGATGATCATGATTCTCTCTGACGCCCTGTTGAAGTTGACGTGGCGACGCCCCAACTCCTGGCTGATTCACCACCACCACCCCAGAACATTAATTCTTGTTTTGACTTTTGGCCCCGCGCTGCCATCACGATGAAACTTGGTGGGTCCACAATTATTAGAAGAAGACTAATATTTAAGTTTTGGTCATGGTCTAAGGAGAAATTCTTTTACAGATTGCCTCTTGCCACCTAGAACGCTTGGGTCAATCTCTACTATCAAGCGTGAATCGCATTCGTTAGATTAAAGGATTGAAAAGGAGAGGGCTTTGGAGTAAATTGCCTTCAGGTGATTTGGCGAGAGGGCGGTAGATCGTCGCCATCGTCGATTTTGGTCAATTTCCGGGGAGTTCGATGAATGATGGGGGTAGGTAGCTTCCGGGAATGGTCATTTGCGTGGTGTACATGGGACGTCGAATGGCGATGTTTAGTGTAGGTGAACGGTGTTAGGGTCTGAGATTGGAAGGGAAGGGAAGGGAAGGGAAAGCTTGTAGAGGAGATGAACCCGTGAAGGAAGGGGGTCAACGCACAGGGGGAAGCTTCGACATAGGATGACATTATTCTCCCAATCTCTGTTAAGTTGACTTTTGATCGAATCTCTGTTAAGAAACACTTTGGAAACGTAACCATTCGAATTTGATGTCTGTTGCTTTCTCTATGGCGTGTTCTTTGAGTTGCTCTTTATCTTGACAAGAAATCAATTGTAAAATCTTTCATCCAATGAAAAGATTAAACGAAAAGAGAAGGGGGTCTCTTCCCGAAGTCATCTTTGAGAGTACGATACAGCAATTAATGATAGGTCATAATCACAATCGACACGGGCGTCTCTGTTCACCTGAAGATGTTCAACACGTCGATCACCAACAAAAAAGAGAAAATCTGGACCCCGAAAGCTTTTTTCCCCCCTCCCAGTTGCCAACTTTGCCGCAGCTTTACCCCACTGCCACGCGAACTCCCACCAAGCAAAGCTCTCTCTCTCTCTCTCGTAATTGCTCGTAAGTCGTAAAGCTCCGTGCTACCGAAACACTAGTCAAAACACCCAGCATGGAAAAATGATTATCTAACTCATATTATGTGTAATCGATGCCTTGAGAGTGAGAACATAACTCTTAAGATGTACGGTAAGGGCGAGCACTTGTTGATTCTCTTTTCATGGTTCCGTCCAGGCACGGCGGAGGCCGAAGAGGTCTCCTCCATGAACTATACAACCCTATATGTGTGTTTCAGAAATAGAGAGAGGTGTCGGAGCTGGTAGTGTATGCAGGCAGGCGGCAGCGGCAGCAGCAGCTGTTGGTGGTTGAGGATGGGAAAGGGAAGGGACGATTTTGATATGGGAATCAGGGCTTCGGTTTCGTGATGAATGGTACGCACAAATTTGAGCATCTGGTGTGTTTTTCAACATCAAAGTGTCCACGTCTCTTAAAAGGAGGGACAAAGACCGAATGAGAACAAATTTTGAAAGCACCGTCAACTCTTGGAAAGATGCGAAGACAAGAAAAGGTTCGGAAAGTCCCCTCTTCTCTTGCTCATCAACAACGCCCTTTCGTACCGTTTCAATCCTCTGTGATCGCCATTTACATATGTTGCAACTTCGAAAGCAGGAAGTATATGCGCACGAAAGAGAGAGAGAGAGAGAGAGAGAGAGAGAGAGAGAGAGAGAGAGATCATATAGTGGAAAAGATGAATCACTTCATTCTTTCTCCGAGTGAAAACTGACGGATTTACAGAGTCCTTTTTCATCTTCTTTTTTCCCCATACTTTTTCTTCTTTCTTTTTTTGTTGATTTCGGACAGAGAGTGTACAAAGAGGAGCTCTCAAAATCTCATCCATCTCCGCTGAAGCTCTTACACAAACCCGACTCTTCATTCGGAATCAGAGTCCATGTTGCCCATAGCCTTCAATCCTCTCGGTCTCTGCATCATCAGCATGCACACACACAAAAATCAGTAATGCCCCCTTAACGGGTGCGCCTAATAACCAATTAAAGAGACTTTACATATTTCCTAATACACTGGCTGTAATCAACGCTTTTGACGATCAAACTATTCTACATAAGTTGAGATTTAACAAGTGCCTCAGGTGATCTCGTTATTAACACGGCCATTTTATCGTTGTGGTTAATTTAGTTTTGGCCAAAGTTCTAGCGAGTTTGTGAGAGGCGCCTTTTTTTTTTTTCTTTGGCCTTACTCTCGATTCAAAATTCGAATGCAGTAATTAAATAGTGCTCGCTAGGAATGCGTATCTAAAATAAACAAGTTAAGCAAACGAAGTACCTTCTTGGATATCTTCTTCTCCCGGACCTCGTACCGTTCTAGGGTCAAGTCGCACAACCACGACCCAGGGCTTACCAGCTGCACATGGAAACATTCACCGACCCGTTTAGATTTTACAGAACCTCGGTTTGTTAAATCATAAAGGTATTTAATATGTCGACCCAAAACCTAAAAATGAAAGCGCTCCAGACAAAAGGGAAGGCATCGGCAAAAAACCATGTAAATTATGCTCAGGGACCGTGACGTGGGGACAGGGACACACCCCTCGAACACGAGGGAATGAGGTTAGGGGAGTCGTGACTACTCATACTGGTGTTCTTCCTCCTTCCTCGAAGTAACCTGAGGGGCCCAACGTGCAAGGACAGGACGACGACGCCCCCAACACATCTCGAACGTCTTTCCCCCACATCCACAAGACCCATGGCGGAGTCGGCGCTCCAAACACCATCCTCACCATTTCCCTGCTTTTATAGTCCCAAGTCCAAGCTCAAGCTCAAGCTCAAGAACGATGGTCACAATTCACAGAAGCGTGCGAACCCGGGCCGGCAGGTAGATAGCCTGGCTTTATAAAAGATCAGAGACGGGCCACCACAGCCCAGTCACTCCACCACCAACCACTCCAAATTTGGACCTATCCCCTATCTATCTATCTATCTATCATCATCACTGTTATCATAGTAAACCTAAAAAAAGTTATCTCGGACCCAACCAAAAGAGAAGAACACCTAATCGCAAAACTTAAGGCGGAAGCCTTTGCCCACTCATTGGACAAACCACACCGGGGCCCCGACCCAGGATCCGCCATCGCGCCCGCGCATCGACCGACGCGTGCGCGTCTCATTTCCCAACTCGATTTGTCCTCTCGCACGCTTTCCTCCTACCACCCCCCACGACAACAAAATGCTGCTTTTCTTTTTCTCCGGCCAAAGGAAAAGGCCAAAAGAAAAAAGCAGGGAGCCCCACCACAACCCCCCCCCCCCCCGGCCCCACCCATTACCCTGAAAATCACGAGGCATAAAATCTCCGGTCCCACCACACGCACCCCTCGATCATTTAAATTAACTTATAGTAAAAAAAATATTAAATGACCGACCCCCAATTTCCACATTATCTTTCGATTTATTTCAGCAACCAATTAGGCCGCCGCTAGTGATTTTTTTTTTACCGAGTAATTTCGGATCGTGATATTTTTAAATTCTCAACTGGGTTCGACCGGAAATGATCGAAGATTTGACGAAATCGACAAAAGATTCTTTTTTTTTTTTTGGGCTTTGCTCTTTTCTTTATGAAGAAACGGATTGGCGGAGAACGAGACGGGGGGGATCTTACATTGACGGTGCGCTGGATCATCTTGGCCCTCTTCTTGGGTCTCTGAGGCAGCTTGGACCCTTTGAAGATGATGAAGTCCTCCTCCTTCTCCTTGTTGGTCAGGGCGATCACGAACTTGGGCGGCCAGACGGGGGGCGCCGCGTCCCCGCTCCCGGACGACGACCCGCCCTTCTTGCTGTCGTGCGCGGTCTCGGACGAGGCGGCCGATTTGTTGTTGCTCTCATTGTGGTGGTGGTGGTGGTTGCTGTTGCTGTTGCTGTTTAGATGGTGAAGGTGATTGTTGTTGTTGTTGTGGTGGGGGTGGGGGTGGGGGTTGGGGTGGTGGTTGGTGCCTTTCTTATCGTGCGCACCCCTGTCCGGCGAGGAGAAACCCCTGAGACCGCCGTTGCTCTGGCCTCGCATCGCACTCGAATTCTCCGAGTTCCTGGAAAAACCAAGCGGAAACGCCCCACTTATCACAAAGCCACGCACGATCGCTAAGGCCACACACACACACACACACACAAGCATTAACAAAACACACCCAAAACACACTCGCACCAAAAAGCATACCCAAGTCAAAAAAAAAAAAAAATCTAAACCTTCCCGAAAAAGAAAACATTTTTCGATCTGGGCAATTTACCAAATTTACGGAAATGACCTCGGGTCCGATCTTAGATCGGCGGTCTGCGGTGGTGGCGGTGGTGGTGGTGGTGGGGGAGGGACAGGCTCCCGAGGGGCTTTGCGTGAGAATCGGAGCAAAGGGGGGGGCTGTGGGGTGTCGATTTTGGCCTTTAGTTGCAGGAGACGACTTTTGAGGATGTGTGTTTTGCTTTATCTGAAGAACTGCGGCAACGTTCAGATTTCCCCTTTTCCTCTCTTGAACGGGAAGGAGATATTTGGGAGTGGAGACTGAGCTGTGATTCTCTGTAGCTGTCTACGTGCACACAGAATGCTTGTTCTTCTTCATTTTTTTTTCCTTCCTTTCTTTTACTTTTTGGGGGGTTTTGGGCATACTTCAATACGAGAGGCTCTCTCTTTTTCTTTCTTTTTCGGGGGGGTGGTTTGGGGAAGGGCTACGTGGAGGATCATGTGAAGAAGAGTCGGGAGGGGATAAAGTGGACCTGATTCCTAACCCTCGCTCATGAATGACCAGGTTCCTCCTTTTTTAATTTCTTTGTTTTGGAAAAACAGGCGCTCGACACGTGTAGCCGGGAGAGCTGGAACCCTTCCGATCTAGTGCGCCGAGTACCCGGACGGGCATCGCTATACCCCCCCCCCCCCCCCCCATGTTTAAAAAAAAAGCCCGCAGCCCAACGACGAAAAAGTCAAAAGAAGAAGGAAGAAGGAGGAAGAAGATGGAAATGGAAATGGAAATGCCATGTGAAAAAGAAGGGATGAACTCGATATGAAGGTTGGCCTCTCCCCATCATCATCATCGTCGTCGTCGTCATATCGACACCACCATGAATATATTGGATCTCTCGTGATAAGAAGGCCCCCCCACCCCCCTCCAAGAGATAAAAAGAAAACATTTTTCCAGCGCAAAACACCTCACCAGCTTTAGACCCATTTCGCACGCAAGAAGTTGAAGCTTTGGGAAGTGGAAAAGTCTAAAAACGTGCCGTATGAGCCTCATGCGACCCCCATCCACGCCACAAGAAAGTCAGGCCCAGTTTTTATCTTGAAATCCAGACCCTTACATGTTGGGATCTTAAAAATAAAAAAAGAAATCCCTCTCTTTTATCTCCGATGCATCCCGATAAAAATAAAAATGAAAAGAAAGAAAAAGTAAAGGGAAGACGCCAAGCATATCAAGATTCCATAAAGATTTCGTGCTAAGAAAAGAAAAACAAAATCACAATCAAAGATCAAACGTTAGATCTGCACACCAAAATATGTTGGGATCTTAAACATCGACTAAAATGCCATTCCCCACATTGTTTTTACGCCCCCCACCCCCCCCCCCCCCCAGTAGCCATATGCACATTCAAGAAACGATATATAGATTCTCTCTCTCGAGACCAAAAACTGCACGTCGTGTGGCGATGGATGTCGGGTCAGTCCGTAAACAGTAAAAGCCCGTGTTAAACGACACCCGCAGCCCCCCCAAATTTTACTCTCTCGTTCAAAATGGACGGATAGAAAGACAAGAAAACATTGCCTTTAACCCATCACAAAAGAGGCCTCTAAAGACGGAATTAGATCTCAAAGATCCTTCCTTGCTCATCCCTCGCCACTCACAGAAAAAAAACTCCTAACCTTCGGATCGTACCCACTTCCCACTACCGAGTGGTGTCGCCATGTCCACTTCCGAACCCCCCCCCCCCCCCCCCCAAAAAAGAAAGGAAAAGAAAAAAAAGGAACGAAGCCCAGTGCACCACAGCGTCGATCCCATTATAGAAACACAGCACGGAGAAAGAGAGAGAGAGGGGGGGACGGCGGCGGTACCTGAGCACGCGCTGAGGTGGCGGGAACGGAGGCGAGGAGGGGCGTTGACGTAGATTCAAGTACACATTCCCGTTTGCGTGATTGTTGGCCGTCGGATTGGCCGATGCCGAGTCCTTGTCGGCCCCTTTCATGACCCGCCGCTCCGCCCGACCCGCCGCCTTGTGAACCGCCGCCGCCGCCGCGTCGTCCTTGACCTGCACCTTCATGCACCTGGGCCGCTTCCGACTCCCCCACTGCAGCACGAAATCGGACGTCGTCGCCGCCGCCGCCGCCGCCGCTCCGGCCGTCGCCGTCGTCTGCCTCGTGGTCTCCGGGGGGGTCGATCTAAGCAGCAACCCCCCATCGGCGGCCCTGCCGTTGGAATTGGCGGAGATGCCATTATTGTTGGCCCTCTGCGCGTCCTTATCCATCTTCTTTTACGTATTTATCCCTGTCCATTCCCCCCGAAAAAGTCTCAGCGGAAAAACCACCGAAAATATTTCACGAAAAAAAAGAGAAAATTTGAAAAGGGACCAAAGAAATTCTCGCTAACTTAACTACGGTTAAACTCCCTCCAAAGTTGAATAGCTCTTCTGCAACTTATCCAGAACCAGAAACGAAAGATTTCACCCAAACCCAGAGAAGCCAAAACAAAGAAAAGCAAAAGGAAACCACTCAAAGGCTCGAAGACTGGAAAGACTGATTGGCTCCCCCCATCACCGAAAACATAGATGACGAAAACAAGAGATCGGATACTCATCGATTGAAATAAAGAAAAGTCCCGGAGCTCATCCAGAAGAAAACCGCCATGAGATTCAAGAGCAAGCAAGCAAAGCGGTGGATATGAGCTAGAACTTTCAATCGGGAATCGTCCAAAACAATGGTAACAAAAACCAAATGGCTTCGCATATAGAGGAAAAAGAAAAGAGGGGAGAGGAAGAGAACAAGAAAATCTCTGACCAGCTCTGGTTAAAATTCAAGAAAAATGCAGGAAAAGAAGAAGAGGAACCCAAGACGCTGAAGAGAAAATCCACGTAAGCAGAACCCATCGATGGAAAAAAATTGCTCATTTGAGATGAGATGTTCATCTGCTCAGAGCTCGAAATCAAAAGAAGAAGAATCTCTTTCAAGGCCAACAAAGGAGAGTTCGTCAAATTCAAACATATTGAAGATCCACCAGCAGGACATCAAGAAGAGATGAGGCGCAGAAGACACCAGAGAGAGAGAGAGAAAGCAGAAACAGACCCGGAAAAGCTCGATTCAAAACAAGAAAGTTCTCAAAAGAAACGAAGTAATTCCAGAAAACTCCAGTCTCAGAAATGGCACATCGCCAAAAGATTTCGTAAAATCAGCTCTTTCTCGAGAGCAAATGCACATCCATGCTCGACGGCCACCGAGAAAGGAGGAAAGACGCAGACGACGAAGGAATTCCGATGAAGATTTGTCGCATTACCGGGGAAAGTCCAACTCCGAAGCTGAAAAAGCCTTTTTGCTTCGTCGACCACCGACCTCCGATTCGAATCCGAGATAGCGCTCCGATTCGGTCACAAGACTGCAAATTACACGAAGAGACGCAGGAATTAGAGCTCTTCGCAAATCAAAACCCAAGAGAACCCCACTGAAAAACAAAACAGAGCACGGAACTCACCTTCTTCCGCTCCGATTCGACAGTACCCGTCGGCTTCTTCCACCCGCGAGACCGGAGAGAACCAATTCTCCAGCTACCTCCACCCGATTTCAGCTCCGGATTAGTCAAATTTCCTCAAATCGATTATCGTTATGGCACCATATATTAGTTAGATTCACGGAATTACAGGCGCGTCCGATTGTCCAAAGGCATGCTTCCTCGCGACTGGAAATCGCGGCCGAGCCACAGGGATATTCATCCGAAGTCACGACATTCCAGAAGCCGGAAATCGCCGACTCTCATGAACGGATTTCCGGTTTCCGATTACGATTCCGGGAAGAGCTGATCTACGCAGAGGGGAGAACAGTTCCTCCCGCGTCGACCGATCGGGGTGGGGGGGGTTAACTCGCTCCGAAATCTCTACCGGGGAAACCGCTCGAAGGACGCCGGAAATGCACCTGCGACGCGAAGAATCAGAACACGAGACGGTCGAAATTAAGGAAGCTACAGAAAGACAAAACCACCAAGGCGAGAGCCTCGGCGGAGATCGACCGCGGAGACCCTCCCGCCGCGAATCGCGTCCGCCTCCGGGGAGCGCGAAGAACTCACCGAGCCTCTCCTCCCCGCAATCGGTCTCGGAGGAAACTGGAGACTCGAAACTCGGGACCGAGCCCGACTCTCGCGCGCTCCGGCACGCTCCCTCCTCCTCCTCCTCCTCCTCCACCTCCTCCTCTCGCCCGCCTGCCTGCCTGCCTGCGAATCTCGCCCGGCGTCCGAGCGAACGCCTGCAACAGCGCCAGAAATGAACCGAGTCAGAAACCGTCATAGAGCCTCCCCGAGGCAAGGAATTCCCGTCCAATCGCCGGAATTCAGTGGCGAACCTCTCTCGCGCGCGCTCTCTCCGGCGCTCCCCTCCGAGCCGGGATTCAGGAGATCCTCGACATTCCCCTCCGGCGGAGAAGAAGCCACCCGCGGTTTCTCGGGAAACGGGCGAGAAAGCGAGAGAAAATTCGCAGGGAAAATTCGCAGAGAAAATACACACTCTCTCTCTCTCTCTTGCTTTCTCTCTCTCTCTCTCTCTCTCTCTTGCTCTCTCGGTTTGTGTGTGTGACGATAAAAAACGCAAAGCTTTATACCCGTAAGGCCCAACGCCCTCCGTCGCGCATCAACCGTTCCCTCCCACCCCCTCCGAGGGGATCCTGGCCGTCGACGTCGCATCGGACGGTGGAGATCCGTTTTCCGCCCTCCCCCCTTGGAGAGCCCCGTTTTTTGCATCGCCGGTCCCCGTGTTTCGGCCGGGTCCTCCGTTCTTTTGTAATTTCATTTTGGCCCCTTTGCTGGCCACTCGGGTTACGGCGTTTGGGGCGGGGTGGGGGGGTCTTAACGGAATCTTCCTCCGCTTAACGCCGTTAAAACGTTAGGGCTTGAATGCTCTCGTGTGAAAATTCCAACCGAGCATTTACTTTCTCCTTTTTCCTTTTTTGAAATTTTGTCAGGCATGTCCACAAAAAAAAAAAATCATCTTTTTTTTTTATCTTGAACTTGTCTCGTTCGGTTTCTTTCGCTCGCCCGTCGTCATCTGATCGGTTCCGTTTATTTCGAAAGTTACATCTCTCGACGGAGGGCCTTGAACGAGTCCCGCAGCAACGAAACGGGACGAACGGCCGGGCCTAAGCGGTTCGACCCCGATACGAGGCTCGTGAGCTCGTTAGGATTGCGATTACTTAGAACGTTGCTCGATTTTCAGCGACGAACAAAAGACATGGATGAATTTTTTGATTATTCTGGATCAATCGCCTTTAAAAGGATTTCGGTCGAACGAGCCAATTACAATCGATTCTGTTCTAAGCGGAACGGGGGCGATTTCTCCCTCCAGATCAAAACCTTTTCTGCCCCGTGGAATGCTGTTAAGAAAAATCGCGATTAAACGGGGTCGAATGCATATACCTTATTTAGTCGGAAGCATCTTAAACGAAAGATCTTTTAATTTTATTTTCTGATATTATAAATCATTGAACATGAAGAATAGGAGATGTGTCCCGTCATTAATGAAATGATTGATGTAAAGCTCAAATTGGGGATCGCAACTAAGTCCCCCAAATTAAGTTTTGGATTATGAATTCCATATTTTTTTAACAGGAACAATGACACGAATAACTTCTGAATTTTGACTCGACGTGTAATGTGATTCCTAAATTTTTTTATTTATTCAATGCAGCTGTGATCTCCGAACTTTTAATTTTGTTCAATGTGGGTTCCTAAATTTTCAGTAGATACTCAATGTAGTCCATGGACAATATGAAAATGTTCAAGGTAGAAGGACTACATTGAATATACATCAAAAATTTATTAACGATATTAAACAAATGAAAAGCTCAAGGATCACATAGTACACTGTATCAAAATTCAGAGTCCATATTGAATAAATTATAAGTCCAATTATTACGATACATATTAAGTCAAAGTTCTGTTTGTGTCATTTTTCTTTTTTTATAAGACCGGAGGGGAAATTGTTATTATAGATGGGGGGTGCACGGATTTCCGTGCACTCAGAGGAAGAGGATCCCTCGGTCTGACCTCGCCACTGCATAGCGCCTGCATACTAGGGGGGCTCCCTCGCGTGTATGTACTCGGACACGAACTACCGTGTGAGCGGCTCTTCTGTTCTGGCTGCTTCCTGCTGGGTGGTTGCCTGGCGTGGGGCTTGAGCCGTTCGATCCAAAGCTGGGGTCGAGTAAATCAACGGTCCAGAGGCGACAAAGAGCCGTTCGCTGGCTACTTTATTTGACTGTTTGGGGGGCGGGGGCGGGGGCGGGGGGGGGGGGATCGGTCTTTCAACAAAATCGTGCAAATTTTGGTAAATGAAAACCTAAATCAGAAAAAACAAAAGTTTGATATCTTCGAGGTTTGATTTTTTTTTTTTCTGCATTATGCGTAATTAGTGCATAGAAAATTAAAATCATGCCCCCGTTTGATTGGTATGATTAATAAGTTATTCGGGACGCTCCTTAATAAATCGGAAATGTCAAATCCCCTTATGTCGTAACACAGAATTGTGTGAAAAATGAAGAGAGCTTGCACGCAATGCCCAGCTCGAGCCATCTGAGGATTAGATTTACGTTAGGGCGTCTGTTTTCCTTTAAGAAACTATATGACTTTGTGGAACATTGGCGGCAATATTGTATTGTACTAAAGCAGGTTTCAACCTTAGCTAGTGATACAATCTTTCATGCTTCTATGCAGGAAATGTACGGGGGACATACGATGACGTAATCGTAACTTCTAAAAAACAATCAATTGCGTGACACATCCGTTATGTCTAGTTTTAATCACATCTATCAATATACGATATCTTGTTTTGGGTACCCTTTCCATGTTCTTTTCTCTATCGCAGCTCAAATCAAATCTAAGGGCACTCTCAAGAAAATACACAAACGAGACGCTACTATAGGCCTAGAAGATTAAAAATTTGACCCACAAGAGCTAGTCGATGCTTCTTCTTTTTTCGCCTTAGATCAATAGATTTCTTACTCAATCCAAAGGACAACCCATCCGAATGGTTTTCGAGGAAACCCTTATATGGAAAGAGGGTTATAATGTTTGCACGCCCACGTGATCGAGAAATCATAAGCACGGTTCCTTCTCCAAGGTCCCTTAAGAACCCTTCGCAAAATTATGTAATTACCTTTTGCACCTAAGCATGTCCTTAAAAAGTTTCATCCAAATCCTCAGGATATAAAGCATACAGGGGTAATTTTCTTCCCAGGGAAGACAAACAAATGAGGAGAACAGGGGGGCTAATTGATGAGAACCGGCCGCCGGGACATTAAACAAGACGTGTAGGAGAGAGCCCGAAAAGGTTTTACTCTCCACTTCCCGAGGCAATAACCTATGTAGTTAAACGGTAACCTAAGACTCCATGGTGAGCATCCCTAGTTACCATCACTGTTACAAAGAACGACGCGTCCAAATAATTTTTGAGAAAACCCTTTCACAGAAAGAGGATTATAACGCTTGCACGGCCGTGTGGTCGAGAAATCAGAATTGCGGTTGCTTCTCGAAGGGGCCCTTAAGAAACCATGGAGAAATTAAGTAATTACCTATCAAACCGATTTCCTACTATAACGTGAAGAGAACGGTATATAAAATATTACTTCCCACCCTTTTTAAACTAATAGGTAAACAGATCAAATCCTGGCCGATCCTGGCACGCGGGTACACCTTTTCCCGAGTCAAGGACAACTTTACAACGTCGACGTTCACGAACACATCTCCAATGTCCGGACACTCAAGACACAATAAATGCACATTAGGCAAAACCACTCACCTAACGAGGCAAAATTCATATATTCCACGAGAGAAAGAGCAAGATCTAGGGAGGGTAAGTGAGTGCGTGGCTCCCGTTTTCCGCCCTATTACAAAGACTTAAAAACACGAAATTCCATGTGGTGCAACATCATGCGAAGACGACAACCACCCGGCAAATCCTTAAGAATCGGGATTGAGTATTGACTAGGCAACAAAGGGTCACAACCGCATCTTACAGACAAATGTATACCACTTTCAATTACTAGATTCAGGCTGAGAGCATTTGACTATAATTGTTCAACCCACATGCACCATAGATTATTACACAAACTACCAAGCTTTCTTTTCCCCAATCGTATCGCCCGTCTGTGTCATTAGTCCACGCAGGGCCGCGGTAGTTCATATCGCGTGAATCAGGCGCGATATTTGTCCTACATTCAAAGCATGTTTATGTGACAAGCAAGTCGAGATACGTGCTTCCGAGTCATATTCACAGCGAAGCAATCACAGAAACAACCCATTCAAGATATACAGTAGGACTATAAATCTGCAGCAGATTTAAGCATGGCAAGCGGGGTCCCTTGTGTGGAATGATTCCCACTTCACTCATGCACTGAATCCCCCGCTGAGAGAGCTCCAGGGACCAGACGGAATGTGAGCACAAGCTTGGCCTGATGCCTCCGTCATTTGCTTGGTCCGGATTCCAGCATTGCACAAGTTAGCGAAGGAGCGCATGTGTTTCATCCCATATTGAGAGAGAGATCCGCAATGAGTTTCGAATGTTCTCACCTGCATTAAGCATCGGCATCATCACACATTTCAAGACTGCAAAGAATACCCACTCGTTGGGTCAAAAAAGCCCCTTCCCCCATTGTGTAAGAATTAAGATCAATAATATAAGCAACAAATCACATTGACATTGTAAAAGGTTATCGATGGCAATGCCAATCTCAGCATCATGGACATATATCAAACATGTGTTAGTTGAGAGGTCATGAGGGAATAATTACCAGGTTTTTCAGGCAAGCCCAGTCATCAACAAGAGGTTGTCCTGCAGGTCGAACAGCATTCAGCACCTCCGGACCCTTTTTAATTCCAAACAAGAGCTTTCCAATGAGTTTCACACTGTGATCTATATGCATCCGATGTGACATTGCCTCAAAAAATTGCTTCTGCGCATCAAGTTTCCTAGAAGAGCCCTCAGGAGCTTTACGGAACTGAAACAAAGGCGGACGCATAATCAGATTTGGTTACACAAGGCTCATACAACTGTGATGTGAGGGCAATAGACAATACCAAATTTCTTCTTTATTTAGTGAAAGAAGAATGAGAAGATGAGTTGAAAGGAAGAGACAAAATTATTCACCTACTTTTATGCCAAAGGTCAAAGCTGATGGCTGAACAGTTTGGTTTTTCTAGTTAAGGAAGTCCTTTTACTTCTACTAACACTTTCAGCAAAGTAATATGCCAATTGAAGGACCTTCCATTATCAGAATTCCATTGATAGACCCACGGTTCTACAGTTCTCATTTTTGCCAGACCACCCCTCAAGTTTCTTTCAAATGCTATAGTCATCCCTTTTAGAAGCTCTACATTCAATTGATCCTGTGATTCTCGTTAGGGAAACTATCCAAGAGAGGCTGCAATTGACCAGACAGCTGCATGTGACAAAACCATCAAGAAGTCTATCCTTAAAACATCTAGCATCTGGCTGTGCTATGACTAAAATCTAAAGCATGCAGCCTCAAACATGATGAAGGGAGAGAGAAACCTTGTCCCAGAAATGGAGCAGATCGGCATCCCGCTGGTTAACAGCTTTCCGAGGAGGCCTCAGTGAGTTGTCATCCACGAAAGAAGAGTTCTCATTTTCAGGATTTGTGCCCATGTACAGGAAGAGATCTTCCTTACTTAACCCTATATCACCATATTGCATGACGTGGGAACCGTAAGCCGAGTTGTCATTTGATGTCCTCTTTTTCACCTACATATGCCAGCACAAAGAAAAATCATAAGGACGAGAAGAAGAAGAACAGAGAGAAAGTGAAGAGCAACTTAAGCAGTCCAGGCAACAGTACGAAGTAACTTCTTCCATGTGCTCGCACTGTATGAATACTTAACCAAGAAATGCACTACAAAATTTACTCCCTTGCTAAAAACACTTGCGAACTCAGTTGCCTGATGAAAGCAAATTTTCTCAAATATGAAAAGTAGAATAAATATTACTTTCTTCCTAATTGCTCAATACAATGAGGGTAGCAATGGCTTTACCAGTTGGTATTGCTGGTGCAGAGTCTCGGTTCGCAGGTTATGCACCTCGCTGTTCACAAAGACATAAACAAAAAGAAATTACGCTTAGCTTAATAATAGTGAAACATAAGCTTTGATTTCTTAAGAGCCGATCAAAACATACAAACCTGATCCAACCATTACAAGGGAAATGAGGCTCGTAAACTAGTACAAGAAATTCAACAAAAAAAAACCTAGTACAAGAAACCTGGAATCACATTGAGCATGAATTTGATATACACATCCAGAGTTGCAATATAAGAAATATTCAGTCAAGTTCCATCTGATACTGTGAAAATCATGTCATCCCTCTTCTCTCCTTTATTTGTTTTCAGCTATCTAAATTTGCAAACATTGGATCTTCAAGATTCTAAATTGCCGACAGATTAGCTATCTACAATGGAAATGCTTTTTGATGCACGTACACCAAAGTTCATGCTTAAAAATAAAAATAAAAAAGCTACCTTGAAGTCCATATAAGCTAAAAATATTTCAATAATAAATTATGCAGTACTTATTAAGAAATTAGATCAGTAGATAACTATATACTCATGGAAAGAAGGTACCAATCAGCAAGCCCTAAAAGTCTAAATAGGGGAAAAACTTACTATTCAGATAAGAGCACACAGGCATAAAGGTAAACAATAAATGAGTCCTTCAAAAACAAGCAACCCGAATATTCAAAGGATTACTTATATTAGCCAAAGGCCAACACCAGAAAATGTAGAAAGATCTTAATAGTATATAATTGGCAACTAAAATATATATTTATTACCAAGCATCAAGTCAAGGAAATAGTGCATAATGGACTGCCTCTTTAGCCAATAATATTTGTTGTCTACATTTTCAAAATCATATAAAAGGAGAATGTGCTGATAAAAAAAATCTCCGATCTTTCTTTCGATCTTCACAATAAAACAATGAAAAATGGACCCAATCATGGCTTTTCAACTGTGCTTTTGATTCCTTTATTCTCGATTTGCAAGACAAACATTCCAAATCCAGATCCTTTGATAAAATTTAAACAACTGGAAATACATAGACCATAATTATACACATTGCCGCAATCCAATTAATGTACTAAGGGTTGCCCATGGTACACCGCAAGATAAATTATCGGTCTCAAATTGCAGAAAAAGTCGTCATTGAAACAGTGACTCCTAATCTTGAAAGAATAGAGTCCAAATGGTACGTGTTTCTCATCCAAAGGCATGAATGAGAAAATAAGGATTTGAGATTACCTGTCTTCCATCCAGGCAACACTATACAAGTCACCAAGACATGTCTCATATTCTACTGGAGGGCTAGGATACTCTCCAGGGCAATAGGTGCCCCAACTGCTCTCTTCTGCATTAGCTGCTGTTGTCGCATATATGTTCAAACCTTCTGGAAGAAGGCCCTCAAAAATACTTCCCGATTCACAAGCTTCAAGGTAAAATACCTGTGTTTATAACACAAAGGGAACAGAATGAAAAGTTTAGACGACGTCATTCATGAAGCAAACTGCTCTAGTGAACTTAAAATTACCAAGCTTTTATAGGTCCCAGACGCGTGCTTCTTTATCAAGACATCTATCAGATCATCAGCATATAGGAAAGGGCTGGTGGGCATTCCTGTTAAACATCAATGTCAATCGTGAGATATGGAAAGGGGTGCAAATGAGATATGGAACCCAATCCAACTTCTATAACTTTAGTACAAATATCTCAGTTCAGCTCAACATGTGCCATATAAACACAAAAAAAAGACAATCTACAACAAATGGAGGTCATCTTGAGGTACTATTGAGTACTAACCAAGCACACCAGGGCCACCATGATCAGTATAGTAGATGAAGATAGTATCATCCGGACCACTATCCACAACCTTCCCGCTGCCTCCTGTGAGAGCAGTCTTGTTTCCAAGGAGAACAGACAAAAAGTTGTTGACGTTAACATCCTCTCCAGTGTAATCCTGCCACCAGAAAAGTAACTAGTGATTTAAACATTTGAAAACAGACCTTTTGACAAATCCAGAGAACAATTTTCATCCGAAACTAGTGACTAAGCATTTGAAAACAGACCTTTGGAACTCCTTCATAAACATCATCTCCCTCTGGACTGTTAATAACAATTCCAGTCCTGGGGTTCTCTTCATTGTCTGCAATGTCATCATACATAAAAACAACGATATTTTCATCCTTCAGCCCTCCTTTCTTCAAGAGCTGATATGCATGGCAAACATCGGCCTGAAAGGAAAATGCACAAATAGCGCATATCATCAACAACTGTAAAAAATTCCAAAGCAGGACAAATGAGACAAGCAAAGGCAGAAAGGAATCCGAACTTGTTTCTGATGACATTATAAAAAAAATTGGCTGTTACCCAGAAGGTAAAGCACTCTATTCCTTTTTAATTGTTGAAGATATTTCAATTTGAGGGTACAAGAATATTAAAAAGACATGAAAGGAGACTATTTGGAAAATCATCTCCTTCGTTTTAACTCTCATAAAGAACGATTGATATGAAAGGAAACTAAACTAGTATCTTCTTTGGGACTATCTTTATTGGCCCATGAAAGTATAAAGAAAGGAAAGAAACAGAAACATATCACTGTTAAAGCTTAAAAGACTCACTTATAAATCACAAACGTTGTGGGTCAGATAATACTATATCACTTCTACTTCACTCACTCTTAGCTAGCAAATCAGATATGAAAATCTAACTTCCTTTCTTTTCTATTATATTCTCTTCCACTAGAAAAATCTTTCTCGTTCGCATGCAAATTCATACTCTCAAACACCGCATCCAGCAAATTCAAATGCCTACGTGCAAACTGAACCAATATGAGCAATTAGTATTACACCAGTAAGGACAGAGCAAGGAAATCCATGAGGAAATAGCCGATACGTAATTGTTTTAGCAGCATCAATCAGCTAAGTTGCACAAAGCACTGTCGTTGAATATTCCCCTCCTGGCCCCCAAAAATAGCAAGAGTCCAAGTAATATCCATACGGACTGCAGAGATTTACCAGCAGTCGCAGCCGAAGATACACATAAATGGACCACGACACTTTCTATTCGAGTCATAATTCGATTCGCTAGAGTTACCACTACAACAGCAAACGGGTAAGTTTTTGCTTGCGATCCAAATTCCGGAGTCCTGAAATCGGAACACACCGGAAAGGAACTTAAGAACAAGGTCTTCGCTAGGCGGTGATTCGGAAACCATCAAACACAAATGGTTGAAATTGGGTCTATTCCAGTGCTTATCATCCCGAGAAGGAAACTCCATTATGTAAGTAGCAGCTACAAGATTGGACCTTTAAGTTGCAGATGGCCTCGAAATCGCTCCTCACAAGATCATACACAAAAAATTTACACGAAAAGAAAAGAACACCGCAAAGGAAACTTTATCATCTCAGAACCTCGCGATTCTAGCTGCAAATCAAGTCAAATGCGCGATCACACTCGTTTAAATTAAGCCGACACAGAAAGGGGAAGGGCGTCGCCGATTCGAGCTGCGAACCAGCAATCCGGGAGAATCACCTGGTGGCGGTAGTTCCAGTAACCGTTGGATCCGGCGATCAGGACCGCCCACCTGGTCCCGACGGAGTCGTCCCCGCCCCCGCCGGCGCGGAGGAAGCTCGAGGCGTCGGACGGCAGCTTGATGACGTTCCCGCCGGGGACGTCGCGGGCGGCGGCGGCGGCGAGGACGGAGGAGAGCAGGAGGAGGAGGAGGAGCGCGGCGGCGGGGGCGGAGGCGAGGCGGATCATGGTGGCTCTACGGTGGCTCTGCAGCTTGCTCCCGATGCCGTAGAGCCGAAGGTTATATTAGAGAGAGAGAGAGAGAGAGAGAGAGAGGGAGTATGGGATTGGATAAAGTGGCGAACGGTGATTGGTGGGATTTTCATCGATCGTTTGTCGCATCGACGACTGCGATTGGGTCTGTAAGGGGGGCCCAGGTCAAGGGAGTTTTGGACGGCGGGGGCGGGGTCACTTTCTGTCCATTCGTCGATGGGGAACCGAATGGACGGTCCGGATGGGACGAGCGGCGGGGGCGCAGTTCCCTAAGCGGGGAGGGTGCGCCGCACGGGATGATTCCCCGCCCCCCGCCCGCGGATCTCTGGCTCGACGGGGAACCATTTCCGCGCGAGAGAGAAAGTTAGTTCGGGGACTGACAGGTGGTGTGCATCTGTAACCACTTGACCAATTGATGAAAGTCCTGCCCCCGCCACAACATTGAAACTATATCCGAAAAAGATCACCTTGGAGTAATTATGCTTTATCAAAAATATATCGAACCGATCTAACTCGGGACGCGCCTAGGTTGATCTTTACTTTTCGATTCACGCTCAATTTAAATTTCGTGATGCACGTATTTTTGATTTTGTTTGAATTCTTGATTTTCCGGATTCATTTTCTCTACATGTTAGTAATCAGCACTCGATAATTTTCAACGCCGATACGGTTTAGCGAGGCGAATTGTATCTTGAATCTAAATAAGTCTCGGGTCTCGGTGTCTCGCCATTTGTATTGAGCTATTCGATACAAACGATCATAGATCGGATCGTTGAACCTAGACAGATTTTGTAGGATGGTAACGGGGGGGACTTTTTCAGTCTTCTTTTGGAGCAGATGATCGTGTGGAAATAGGGGGGGGGGGGGGAATCTTCAAAGGAAACCAAACTAAAAAGACCAAGGAAAGATTCCTTTCTCTGATTTGCTTCAATCGATTGGCTTCATTGGTACACAAACAAAGACGTCCTCAACCGAGGTTGATGTGAAATCTTCGAAAACACAGAACAATTATTGAGCAGAAGACGAATTGCGTGAATACAAAAGGAGGTTGCCCCTCGGACCACTCCTCTTCGCTTGTCCCTTCTACTCCTCCTTTTCTTAAGCTAAGCCACCGGAGGTACGATAATGACGTTCGACGCGAAATCAATTGGCTCATCGTGACACGAGGATTAGCAAGACGAAATGAGCACTCACATGTCTCGGTTCGGAGTGACGCGAGAATTGCGTTGCATATTGGTTCGCGTCGTTATCATCCGAAGATGGTCGGACAGGCGCCGAGATATTTGGAGCTTGCATAGTCCATATGGGGCTGTAAATAACATATCATGGAGACACTAGACATTCAGTTGATGGGTTTAACCAAATGCAACCTGCAAAGAACACTGAACGTCCGAGATGCGATCCGACCCACGACTATACATGATTCAGGACATTGCAATTGAAGTTTACTGCTCTTGTAACGTAAATATACAGAACTTCATGAGGGGCGACTTGTCGGGATAACATCGGAGCTCAGCTGAAGGTCATCGAGCAGATTGCGGCTGCAGATTCTCTTCCAGAAAGACCGACAGCAGATAAAAGCTTCTCCAACACATTGCAAAAGCTAAACGATTGCAAAGCACTCAAACGGGCTTTTACTCTCTTTGGATAGGTACAATCGCGCTCTCTTCAGCAGGTGCGGAGTCGGGAGCAGGTGACTTCTTCACGAGGGACTTGGGAATGTCGAGGAAGTCTTGAGGACATCGCTGTTGAGGGTGCGACAATAGCATGCACATGTGACGAAAGAGGATGCGTGTCAGGCCTTGACCACTCTCGTGGATGTGCCCTTCATATTCGCTCACATGTTCGAGCGCATCGACGAGGGCATCATAGACCTGCTGCGGGCAATTATCTGGTCCGGGCTTGTCGTGGAGGTAGATGACATCCAGAGTGAAGAGCTTTTGGTTAACTGGCCATTGGTGCTGAGGCTGTATGGATGATCTGCAGTATATGAGAATCTGATGCAACAAAAATGCCGTAACCATGTTAGATCAATAAGTACAAAGGAAAAGCCACAATATCACCATCTGCACAATTCGATTCTAAAAGGGACAAAAAGAAGAAAATGAGTTTGTAGGAGGTGACAAAAGAGGACATGGTATTTAAATGGCAGCAACAAATCTAGCAGTTTAACAGACTTCGGCCTAACGAACAAGAAAAAGGTTTTGTAGACATTTGGGCCACTTACTACACTGCAAGTTTCTAAGACCCAAGTAGCTCTATGCTACATATAATAAGAAGTGAAACTAATATACATGCCTAGGCATTGATTTAGCAAGAGGACAAGCACCTATTGCTTAGTACAATCATCTGCCATCACTTACCACCCTGAAAATTCTGTTTTGTGCACGAGATTTCTTTGCTTCATGAGCCGCGATTCGGAATAGCTGTGTTAAATCTGCATGACCACTAGCTGAGGTAGCTTGAAGACTCCGAACTGCAGCAGCTGCAGACTCTACATCACTGCTGAACTCCTTACGGAGCTTCAGAATTGAAAAGAAGGGGAAAAGATCAAAGAAGTAATCATATATGTAATATCAAACAAAAGGGTTTTTGACAATTCATTGCAAGCTTTGTCTTGCTTTGGCTACATGCTTGATCTACATAATAGTTACTTTGAATGGATACTGCATCTTGAGTTATGTAAGGGATACTTGCAACAATATCATATAGCATTCCAAAACACAGTCAGATCACAATGTCATGATCAGGTTAAAAGCAACTCTGTGCTAAAAGTAGCCTTATTAGTAACTGCACAAATCTAATTTCGAACTTTATTATCACATTTCAAGCATGGCATACCAGTACAAAACGGCTCTCCCTCTCATCAATCAAACACCCCAGCTACCTGAGGCTATTCTGATATAACTTAGCCTCAGCAGCAGTAGCAGGCACGGGCACCATTCTGATATCATAATTTAGTAATTCATTCTACACCTCTGCACATTCCCTGACAAGAGAACAGCTGAAGACACGGACATGAATGGTCAGACAGGAATGCTTTCTAACAAGTATCAGTGGTGCGACCAGGAACCAAATACTGTCCTATGGAGGCATTCTGGGATGTTGGGTATTTTTCTATGATTCTGTAAGGCAAGGGTTTTCCTGTGGCTCAAAATATGCAGAACATGCAATCACGAACACCACTGTTTCCATTCAAGCACTTCTCAGTTCGAGCGTACAAAGAGTTTATGCACGTGACGTCCAAAATTGAGCAAGAACATCAGTCATCCAAGAGAAACATAAAATCTTAAGTCCTACAATCGTCCCATACGGTGCACACTACCAAAATTCATCGTAAAAACAGCATCGAGCAAGCGCATTCACTCCTCGTTACGAAAATTAGCTAAAAGGAGGGCAAACCTAGAGTCCAATCCAAAAGAAATCTTCGGTGGTTGCCAGGAATTGGGCATTCTATCACAAAGTCATTTCCGCTTCATATCGACTAGCGCAGCTCTGATACGGTAGCATTCAAAAGAAGAATTGGATGGCAGAGCACAAGCAATCAAGACCTGGATTTCTAAGAAGCTGCCGACGGATATGCACCCGCACTACACCTCCACCGTTCTTCCACTTCTAAAATGGAAGATGCATTTGCTCTACTGATCAAGCGATCTCCAAATTCAAAGGCTATATCAAGCAAATTACCTCCATTCCAGAGGGAGGTAAGTACAAATAGGGGAAAAACCAGGGCAGCTTCCTAATCCCTAAAACACACGGCCTGAAACACCACCACCAGAGACACGCATTTTCGCAAGGCCAGATCAAAGCGCACGCCAAACTGAACCAAAAAACCCTAGCAAGAACGGATTTTTGGACGTACCCAGGAAGCGGACTTGGAGAGGGTGGCGAAGGCGAAGCGGTGGTCGGGGTTGATGGCGAGCTTGGAGTGGACGAAGAGGAGGAGGGACTGCTTGACAGTGTCGAGCCGGGTGAAGGGGCGGCCGTTGGGGCCCGTCACCTTCATCTCCGCCAGGCACTCGGCGTCGACGTCGACGCAGAAGAGTATGTCCTCGCTGCTGATCCGCGACGGGTTCAGGGCGTAGCGCGGCGGCGCCGCCGCGTCTCCCTCCCCTCCCTCCATCATCTCTCTCTCTCTCTCTCTCGCTCGATTTTGAGGCTTTCAGTCTGCGCGACTTGGGGAGTTTGCTCCCCGGTCGATCGCTGAGCGGATCCGGGCCCGGTGTCAGATCCGACCCGATTTTGCACGGGTTTTTATTTATTTATTTATTATAATTAATTAACTTTTGATAAAGAAAACATTATAATTGTTGATACCAAAAAATGTCCAAGTGTTTGTTCGCCGGCTCGATCGACGATTTAGTCGACGGAGATGTCAAACGCAAAGTGTTGGAGGGAAGCGTCGAAAAATGAGGTCGACCAACTCGGTCGATGCGGGAAAAAGAGCACATCAAGTAGCGGAGTCAATAACCTCGGATGACCGGCTGTAAATAAGCCTTGCTGAATAGAAGGAGTCAAATAGTCTCTGTTTTTTTAAATTCTTAGTAACTGTTTATGTAATTGTCGAGTGGAGTTATAAATAGGGAGAAAGACACAAATGGTCCTTGAACTTTGACGCAATATGCAATATGGTACATGAACTTTTAATTTATTCAATGCGGTCCCTGAACTTTGACCTAATATGCAATGCTGTCCCTAAACTGTTAACTTGTTCAAAGTGGTCCCTGAATTTCCGGTACATTTTCAAACTAGTCACTGGACTATATGATAATGTTCAATGCTGCTGCTAAACTTAAATTAATGGAAGGATGATATTATATATTTTTCATATAGTCCATGGACTAGTTTGAACATTTATCAAAAGTTCGGGGATCGCATTAAACAAATTAAAAGCTCATTGGAACACATTACATATTGAGTTAAAATTCAGGGACCGCATTTGACAAATTAAAAGTTCAGGCACCACATTGGATATTGGGCCAATAAAGTTTAGGGACTATCCGTGTCATTATCCCTTATAAATATCTATCCATGTATTTTTGGTGAAGGATTGCCAATCAATCTAAAAACGCATGTTGTTCAATTTTATTTTCAACATAATTTACTTTTGCAATATAATTTACATTGCGGGCATCGATTGTTCTCACTATTCGTACTTCCAAATTTTTTGTCATTTACATTCCCGTCCAAAAATCAATGAAGGACTCTTCACAACGTTTGTTGATTTACATTTATCCGTTCATATTTTTAAAGGTATTTCATCCTCTGTGGTGAAACATATATAATTACGTGAATATATTTAGGTCATCATGAAATGAAATGACGGGAATACAATGATATGAGATGGATTACCACAGGCGGCCCCTAATTAAAATAGATTAATTTTTTTGCAGAAAAGAATTAGGCCTTGACAGGCTTGATCTGCTCTTTGGATGGGCACAAGTTTGTGTCACTACTCCTTAATTCTCTCTTAACGGGGGACAGGTTATTTGCCTGGATGCAAGGGTCTTCGGCAAGGGGATACCGTGTCCCTTCATCTCTTTGTTATGGCTATTGATATCCGTTCTACGATGATTAATCAGGCTGTAGAGTTAGGGAAGCTCAAAGACCATCCCATGTGTTCTGAGATTAAAGTGGACTCATCTGTGCTTTGCAGGTGATGGAACTGTTGGAGCATTGCAGCAAAGTGTTGGGGCATTTTCCGGGAGCTTTATCTGATGCCTGAAATGAAATTCGGCCCTCAGAGAACAGAGATCTTGTGCATCAGGTGTCTCGAGCTCTTAACTAAAGGAGATGGTTCAATTAGGAGGTCTTAAAGTTGGTGACTTGCCTGTAAACTACCCTGCGCTTGCCTCAGGGAAACTCTTTGATAAGGACTGTCATATCCTAACTGTTAAAAATCTGAACAGAATTCGTACTTCTAGTGCGAGAAAATCGTCATTTGCTGGTAGACTTCACACTGTCAATTCAACCTATCTATAGCATTGTCACTCAATGGTGTGTTTTTTTCATTCTCCAGAAGAAAATTAGGAGAATTGAGAAGCGTTGCCCTGCTTTTCTCTGGTCAGGGTCTGACGTATGCACCGAGGCATCAAAGGTCAGGTGGGCAGATGTCTACTTGCCATGAGCCATGAAGCTTATTATGCCTTCTGCTTTTGTAATCTGGGTCTCTCAATCAATTGCCTGCGTGAGCAGCATAGGTTTTTTTAAGGCAGAAGCTTTTGGAGCATCAAGGTCTAAGAATCTCTCCTTCTGGTTCGATCCCTAGTGTACCCTCGCGGCATCCTGATGGACCATTTTCCCATTTTCAAATGCCGAGGTTGCTGCTAACGTGATCCCGCATCATTCACGGAGGTGGCCTGCAGCAAGATCAGAAGCTCGGGTCGCCGCCATTCGAGCCTCGATCTGCGAATGCTCTTGCCCCCGAATCCAATGATGTCAAGGCAGACCAAAGGTGTCCGATAGTTTTATCAGAGATGGGGGGGGGCTGTTATAATCGGTACCAGTTCCCTCCGCTTCCTTATACTCTTGCGTACAATTAGCAAAAGGAGACCCAAAAAAAAGAGAGAGAGAAAATATTTAGCTACTTCAAATTTGGAAGGGAAACCATGGAGGAGGGTTTGTCCCCAATCGTGAGTAGCAAAATCTGTAGGCACCATGCAAAAGGTGTTTCGCTTCTCGATGACTGAACGAAACACCCGTGTCTGACTGGAGTGCCAATTTCGCAGATCAACCTCAGACAGCACAGCACAAGAAGAAAAGCAGTTTCAATAACCGCGAATCCAACTCGCGCGAGCCCAACACATCTGGATTATCAGATCTAGCGCAGAACCCACGAAAGATCCAAAGAATCCAAGACACGCCGCGCCCGCGCCCGCGCGCGCGGGGACCCGGGCTCGTGCGAGCGCGACACAGAGCGAGGATGTGGCCGGGTAATTGTGTCGTGGAACTACGGAGCGTTTCGAGTCCCAAGGATCTTCAACCGGCCGGCGAAGGAAGGTTTCTGTCGGCTCCCAGCGGCAGACGGGTCACCACGGACGGGGTGCCCGCTGTTGACTCGTACTATGGGAGCCCATCAAAACCCGTTCGCGAACACGACGCCGAGCCGAAAAAAACACACACACACGCACAAACTGAAGGAAGCAATCAACACTAGACCGCGGTTTCTCACCGATAGCTCGCGTGCTCGCGGCCCTGGAGCGCAGCTGATGTCGACGAAGGTCGGAGCTTTGGGGGAAACCCTAGCGCTACGTTCGGCCATCTTTATAGTGCGCGGTGGGATTCAGGAGCTAGTGTCAACCCCCCCCCCCCCCCCGCCCGGCGCAACATCGCATGCTGTTTGGGCTTCTTCCTTCCGAGATATTTCAGGCCCAGATAAGGAGATTCTGCACGTTCGGAGGGGCAAATGCTGGCCTTGGTAGAGCCGAAAGCCCGACTCGATTTGCCCTCATAGGAATTGTTCGCCTTCTCTACTTGACACCTCCCGTCGAGAGCTACGCGAGACCGGCCGGCGATCGCCGACGGTCACACGACCTTGGCTTGGGGAGGTCGGGGTCGTGCGACCTCGGGCGGCCCTCGTTGGGGTCCACCTAAGGTCGTGTGACCTTAAACTACAGCCGCCGGGGCCAAATCTAGCTCGCAGGCGAAGGGTTCGAGTTTTTTTATTCCTATTTAATAAAATAAATAGAAAAAGTTCTTTGCAATAAAAAAATTTCTAAACATTATTTGGCCCGAAGTTGCTTTTTTAGCAAATACAATTTGCATTTCGAAAGACCATTTTAGCATAAAGTCCTTTGCATCCTTTTGCATTTTGTCAAAAACTTTCCCCAAAACCGAACCAAAGCTGTTTTATTTCAAATGTTCATTTTGTACACGTTCAAAATCATAATGCCATTAATTGAATTTGTCTCCTTTTTTGTTTTATCTTTGTTTTTGCAAGCACCAGCAACTTAATCTCTTCCTTTTCTCTCTCCCTTTCAGGTCACTAAAGAAAAGATCCTATAGCTAGAACTTACATCGTTCTGAGTCGCATAGCAAAAGCACTTCATTGACGCGTAAAACCTTGTATAGCGACTTCTTGGATCATGGTATGATCTTTTCTACGATGAATAAGATTAATCTTCATTAACCAACAAGAAACAGATGGGTCGACTTCACCGTAACCATGGAAGGGCAGACAGTATAGCAAACTCCACTCATAAACATTTTTTTTTTCGTAATTTACAAACCACATCGGTTCACGAGACATGAGAACATTGACGCCGACCGACGGTGCAAAACCCACCTCGACAGAGACACCAGCCACCCATCTCAAAGGAACAAAATTTAATCAAGCGATGGTCTGGTTTTCAAAACCATTCATCGCGTAAAACACTTGGAAGCCAATCCTCGTACGAACCGGTAGTTCATCCACCGTCATAGATACTGAAATACCTTCAAGCAGTCACAAAAATCATAAGGTCCATAACATGAAAAGAGTACTCAGAACATGCAGGCATCATACACGCTAATCCAAAATCAACAAAGCACAAAACATGCATAGCAAGTATCCTACAGCATAAGTTGTTCTATAACCACGAGACTAACTAAACTCAGACAACAGCAAGTACGGGCATCAAAACTATAACATGATCTCGCAACATTTCCCCCTGTAATCAACTCTGGGGCGATGTTTTCGCGGACGAACTCTGTTGAGCAGCCTGCGGAGCAGGTGCGGTGTCATAAGAACCCCGAGCAGTGCCACCCCCGGCACCAACATCAGCTGCATAAGTAGGAGGCTGTGGATAACCGTAGCTGTTATATGGAGGTGGCTGCTGCCCATAGCCCGCCTGTGGTGCAGGCGCTGCACCATAAGGTGGGGCTCCATATCCTGAAGGCGGACCACGTTGGGCAGCAGAATCAGGCTGAGAGTAGCCTGACGGTGGTGGCTGAGACTGGGGGTACCCCGGCTGCCCACTAGGGGCCTGACTATAGCCTCCTGGTGTGCTTGGAGACTGTTGAGCTCCTCCATAAGCTGGAGCATTAGCAGGTGGCTTCTGGGCTTGAGGTTGCCCATAGCCCGCTGCATACGCAGTCGATTGGTTGCCATAGCCAGCTTGAGAAGTTGGGGGAATGCCATAACCCGCTTGACCAGTTCCCTGCGGAGGATAGCCAGCAAG